ACCCCACGCCTCACCGACGCCCCAGGAAGCTCCGCCCCGACCCCCTCTTCCTCCCCACCGATCCACGGCCCTCCGGAAGCCCTGCAGCGTCGCCCACAAGCTCGCCCCCAACCTTCGGCTGCCGACGAACTTTCGAGGATTCGCGAGCTCCAGCCCCTCCCCGGCCTCGCCGTTGCCTCCACCAGATCAGCTGTGAGCTACTCTTCCATTCCCCCTCCTCCTCGCGCTCATTCCCGTACTCTAGCCGCCCTAACCACCTTGCCGAGCGCTCCTCGCCGCCGGCCATGGCACCGCCGTGGCCACAGGTGTCCTAGCTCGCGTCTGAGCACGCCCTCGGGCTCGAGATGTTCCCAGGAGCCGAAAACTCCCATCGGTTCGTCCGTAGCCGCACCATAGCATCGTCTTAGGCGATGCCCGAGCTCCGGTCGCCGCCTCTCTCGCCGTAGTTGCCGCTACCGGTCACCCCAGCCGCGGCCACAGCCACCGCTGGACGCGCCGCGTCGCGGACGTTCTAATGAGCCAAACCGCGCGCCAAACCATCGCCCCTAGCTCAACTCTGAGCCGCGCCGCCGTGCGGAATGGTCGCCGCCGGCGATACTCCGGCGACTGCCGACGGGGCACGCTTAATCAGTGTTAATGGCCCCACTAATTAAACCCACAGCCACTGACAGTGGGCCCCACCCCTGGTCAAACCCCAGTCAGCGCTGGGTTTGACCGGGATTAGCTCCTGTGTCACTGACGTGTGGCCCCCACACGTCAGGTTTGACCTGGGGCGCCCAGTTGACCCTGCTGACGTCACTGTGACGTGGTGCTGACGCCATAATCATTTCTGGATTTATTATTATTTCAGGAATTTCAGAAAATGCCCTAAAACTTCAATAAATCATAGAAATTCAACCGTAACTCCAAATTAAATAATTTATATATGAAAAATTATCAAAAAAATTCAAGGAATCCATCTGCACCATTTTCATGCATGTTAGAACAACTTATAGCTGCTGTTTAGCACAAATCAATTAAATGGCATTTGAATAATCACATATGGAGTTTGAATTTGAATCTTGTATTCAAACCAACTTCATTTAATCTGTTGCTAGTTGCATTAGCTCAAAACACATTCATCTTGCCATGTCATGATCATGCATCATATTGTGCATTGCATTGATTGTGTTCCCTTCTGTGTTGCCGGTATTTGTCCCCTCCCGATAGACGTGATACCGATGATGTGATCGTTGACACTGATGAAGACTCAATGTTATCTTCAGAAGTGCCAGGCAAGCAAAACCCCCTTGTTCATTCCGATAAAATCCCACTCTCTCGCTCCTGCTCTCTTTTACTGCATTAGGACAACAACGATTCATCTGTTACCTGCTGCGGTAGCTGAACCCCTTTATCCTTTGCATGACCTGTCATTGCCACAGTAAATAGATGAAACCCACTAGCATGAGTAGGAATTGTTTGAGCCCTGTTGTGCCTACTCATTCATGCTTGTTTGTCATGCCTGCTACTGCTTAGAGTCGAGTCAGGTCTGATTCATCCGGGATGAATCAGAGGTGTGTGAACATGTCCTACTGTGTGTGAGCTAAGCGTGTGAACACGATTTGGTAAAGGTAGCGGTGAGAGGCCATGTAGGAGTACATGGTGGGTTGTCTCATTGAAGCCGTCCTCAGGAACTGAGTTCTGTGTTTGTGATCCATGATTCAGCTACTACCATGCATTGGGCCCGAAACCAATGGACCCTCTCGGCTTCTTGATCACCCTTGTCCTCTGTCCAGGAGTTGCAAGTAGTTTCTGGTGTTTGTAGTATGCTGGAGGCCGTGGGCAGCGCTGACCGTAGGGGTGGGCTGTGATGTGGTAGGCACGTGGCACGGTGTACCGGGCGCCCGTTTGGTGTCTCGGGAACCCTGTTCACATCGTTTGGGGCTGTGAGCGAAACTCCGGCCGGATCTCCTCATGGATGGAACCCGAATAGGCGATAAACCTGGACTAGAGACTTAGGTGATTAGGTAGGTCGTGGCCGACACCCACGTTGGGCTTCCGCTTGAAGGTTGCCGAGTACATGTCGTGTAAACGGCGGTAAGTGGTGAGAGCGTGTGTGAAGAAGTACACCCCTGCAGGGTTAATATGATCTATTCGAATAGCCGTGTCCGCGGAAAAGGACTTCTGGGTTGCTTATATCAGTTCATAGACAAGTGAAAGTGGATACTCTAAAATACGCAAGATAAGCGTGAGTGCTATGGATGGCGTTCTCGTAGGGAGACGGGAGCGGATCCATAGTGGTGTATTGATATGGTGAATATGTGAACTCGTGTGCGCCACCTCAAAAGAGTTATTTGCAGTCGTAGTTCAGGATAGCCACCGAGTCAAAGCTGGCTTGCTGCAGTTAAACCCCACCATCCCTTTGTTGATAATGATGCATATGTAGATAGTTCTGATGTAAGTCTTGCTGGGTACATTTGTACTCACGTTTGCCTATTTTATGTTTTTGCAGAGAGACTTCGGTCTCACTAGTAGTTTCGCGTGGACTTCGACGTTTAGCTTGATACCTCAGCTACGATCTTGTGCCCTCGGCAGGCTCTGATAGATAGTCAGGCTTCTCAGCCTTTTTCATTTATAGATGTCTGTACTCAGACATGATAGCTTCCGCTTGTGCTTTGATTGTATGCTCTGAGTGTTGGGTCATGAGACCCATGTTTGTAATATCTCGCTCCTCGGAGCCTAATGAATAAATTACTTGAGTCATAGAGTCATGTTGTGATGCCATGTTGTATTTGCACATATCGAGCATATTGTGTGTATGTTATTGAAATGCTTGGTATGTGTGGGATCTGACTATCTAGTTGTTTATCTTTAGTAGCCTCTCTTACCGGGAAATGTCTCCTAGTGTTTCCACCAAGCCATGGTAGCTTGCTACTGCTCCGGAACACTTAGGCTGGCCGGCATGTGTCCTTCTTCGTTCCTGTGTCTGTCCCTTCGGGGAAATGTCACGCGATGAATACCAGAGTCCTGTTAGCCCGCTACAGTCCGGTTCACCGGAGTCCTGCTAGCCCAGTGCTACAGCCTGGATTCACTCGCTGATGACCGACACGTTCGATGCTGGGTCATGGATGCCTGTCCCTGTAAGTCTGTGCCACTTTGGGTTTACGACTAGCCATGTCAGCCCGGGCTCCTTATCATATGGATGCTAGCGACACTGTCATATACGTGTGCCAAAAGGCGCAAACGGTCCCGGGCAAAGGTAAGGCGACACCCGTGGAAATACCGTGCGTGAGGCTGCAAAGTGATATGAGGTGTTACATGCTAGATCGATGTGGCATTGAGTCGGGGTCCTGACACCTGCCTTCCACTTGCCCCTTCCTCTTAGACGCTCAGAATGGATGATGCGTCGACAAGCGATGTTCTATGAAAGATGGTGGTCTTCGAAGACGTCCCATCGGTCGAGCCGTGCATGTGAGCTGAGGATAAGTTCTTTTATGTTATAGCTTGCTTTACAGTGTTGTTTGTTTATGGACTTGTTCAAAGGGGTGTGGTGTGTGCTACGTGTCTCCTATAAAGCTATCATGTGCCTAGGCGTACTTTTGAAAAACAAATGTAAAATAAGTAGTGTGTATTCAATTATATATTGTCTCTATCCCAAAATTTATGTTTTAGATTTGTCTAGATATGTATGTGTACCTAATAGTAAAGGTGCTATTACTTCTTGCATACATCACGAAAATTGCCCCGAAAATTACAAAATGTTACCCAACAATGCCACCTATAAGTGATAAAAGAACGTATCACACATAGGAATCCCCCATGGGCTAGCCCATGCAGCAGGGACTCACATGCAGCAGGGACCTCCTATATTACACTCCGCACACTGGGACAAGATGCAACACATCCGTTTGGGCTCGCCCATGTCCGGAAGGCCCTCTTTTAATTTTGTTTTTCATTTTTTTTCTGTTTTCGTTGTTTTCTACTTTAAATAACTTGGGGCTTAAAATTTCAAAAAACAGAAATGTTTATAAATCATAAAATATTTGTGAAATTAAAAATATTTGAGAAATTAAAAAATATTCGTGATTTTGCTAAAATGTTCTCTAATTTTAAAATGTTTGCAATTTTGAAAATAAATGTTTAAGAACTAAAAAAATGTTCATATATTTAAAAAAAATCATGTATTAAAATTAATAAAATTGAATAAAATTTCGCCAATTTAAAATATGTTCATGAATAAAAATTAGCCTAAAAATTTAAAAACTGTTCGTGACTTACAAAATGATTTATTCATTTATGAGATGTTTGCTAATTCAAAATGGTCATGCATTTCAAAGAAAAGTTCGTCAAATAAAAAATATCTGTGAATTTACAAGAAATATTGTTGATTCGCCGGTTCAAGAAAATAATTTACAAAAATGTTCATAATTTTTAAAAGGTGTTTGTAAATATTACAAAATATTTGTGCATTCAGAAAATGTTCTTGATTTTAGAAAATGGTCGAAAAATTGGAAGTGTTCACGATTAAAAAATGTTCCCGATTTCAATTCAAATGTGTGCACGGGCTTAAAAGATGTTCATGATATCAAATTATTCATGATTTGACGAAGTTAAGAGTGATAGTGTCCGATATCAAATGTGTGCACGAGCTTAAAAGATGTTCATGATATCAAATTATTCATGATTTCACGAAGTTAAGAGTGATAGCGTATTTCGATGATGCAGTAAAATGAGGTCATGGCCATCAAAGATTACGAAATTTTTCAACCCATGGGCCTTTTGCTGGTCTAAAACTAAAACGTGACTAGAAAACATCGCGGCAAGAAAAAACTTGACTAGAAAACTGCAGAGAACTCAGTATATGACGAGGCAGCCAAGGATACAGTCACCTGCGATTTCGATGCATGAAAATGTCGAAACACGGGACGCACTTTACTCTAGCCCTACTCTCAAGTACTGTACGTACGGCAGTACAAAAAAAGTAGCAGTACAAAGATTGGCACGTGAAATAGCAGTTCACTTCACAGGTAGCAGTCGAGGTAAGCGTGGCGGTGCCGCCTGCGGAACTCGAGCAGGCTGCCGTACGTACGGTCGGCGACGCCCACGAACAGCGCCTCCGCACCGTCGTCGGGGCTGAAGGACACGCCGGCGATCTCCCCGAACAGATCGATCTCCTGCGCGCGTGCGTACCCCGCCGCCACGTCGTACACGCACACAAAGTCCGCCGGCTCCGCCGCGGCCAGGAAGCGGCCGTCCGGCGAGAACCTGAGCCCCCTGACGGCGCCGATCCTGCCCTCCAGCACCACGAACGCGTCGGACGGGTTGCGCACGTCCCACAGCCGGCACGTCCTGTCCTGGCTGCCCGTGGCCAGGACGCGCCCGTCCGGGTGCCACGCCGACGCGAACGAGTAGTCCGCGTGGCCGCGCAGGCTCGCGATTTCCTGATCCAACGCCATGACGGTGAGCAACCATAGCACATCGCACGAAAATCTCGAGCCAAATTGTAGCACATACTCTCTGTTTACCTTGCCGGACCCGGAATCGGCGATGAGGCAGTCGGAACTGTCGCCGAGCACCGCGAGCAGCTTCCCGTCGGGGCTGACGGACATGTTCTGCACCATGAAGCATATGGCATGAGCAACCAAGACCAGAAGCATAAGTTCAGCAGATCTTCTGCGCAGGGTACTCACGTTGACGGACCACGCAAAGGGGAACTGAGCGAGCAGGCTGTACTTCTCCGTGTCAAAAGTTCTAACAACGCAGTCGTTGTTGGCAGCCATCACCCGGGTGGAGCCGCTGTGTCACGAGACGATACGAATTCTGTTAGCAAATCAGTTTCATGCTCATATTCGGAAGATAAATTGCTAGTACTGCGTATAATTTGTTTGCTCACTTTGGTGACTTGTAGATCTCGACGGCGTTGGTGATGGACTTCTTGTTGCCGGCCAGGTTCGTACAGAACACCACTCCAGGTTGATCAACATACTGACGCAAAGACACAATCGTCAGCTAAGATAAGAAGATCCAGAGCAACGTCCACAGGTCTGCACTGCGTGCCTACTACTCCTTACCTTGCAGATCAGCTCCCCATGGAAACCACCAGCCGCCAGGAGGTTGTCTTTCACCGTCATGGTGCTGATCTGCACCCTTGACAAGGGCCGACCTCCCTGCATATCCTGCAGTGTGGTCGCACAGTGGATCAGAGATTGATCGACATTCCAACGATCCAGGACTATCACATCGCTCTGTGGTAGATCACCTGATTTGGGCCCGCCACATTGAGCACTTCTTTTCCTCTCCGGAGTAGGGATGACCAATGCATCACAGAATAGTTCTGTGTCACGTACACATCATGCTTGGACGTAGCCCACAGGAGGTTCCTCAGCTGCACATGTACAAGTACACGGTCAGTGCATTTGTACCAGAATCCTTCTTAAAATTCTGCAGGAATACAATGATGCAAATGATGGCACCCTATTCAAGTGGTTGTTACCAGGCTAAATTTACTGTGATTTACATTAAAAGCAGAACATGTTATCATCGAATTCAATTATTTGTCTGCAGCCAAATGCTGATTCTACGACAACAAACAAGATCGCCAATGGAGGGCATAAAAGTGAGCTTCTGTTAAAATTCACTCGGGTAATTACAACTATGTGATGTTACTGTTAATCTAGATCTCCTTCAGGTTAGCAAGGAGACAGAGCTCTGCAACCAAAGTTCATGTAAGTTGTTTAGCTGAACCCAGATAGAAACTCCAGGTAAATTGATACAAAAATAAAACTCCAGGTAAACCAGTCAGTTCATATGCATTAGCACAACAGAACAGTTAAGGACCTCTCTGATTTGCAGGATTGTAAAAATGCAGGATTTGGAAAGAAACAGGAAGAACACGGTAATGGAATGTCATGCCCATTCAAATCCTACACGATTTGAGTTAGTTTGATTGATGGCATCACAGGAAAAATAAAGGTTTTTTTTCAAGAGGTTGGAGTGGATGGAAGGGGAGCTTTGGCGCAAAAGTAAAACTGTTGCCTTGTGACTATGAGGTCACAGGTTCGATCCTAAAACAGGCTCTTGCAAAATATAGGAAATGACTGATTCAATCTTACAAATCGTAGGACCAACATAGTATTCAATCCTCAAAAAATTGTATAAAAATCCTTTCAATAAAAGAGGCCTTAAAAGGTCAAGGCCCGCCATACAATATACATAAACCATAACAAGGAGATTTATTTGCGCACCATTTTAATAGCATTAGGAAATCATCCAACAAAATTTTTAGTGTTAAATAGCACTCCCTCTGTAAAATATAGTGACCTAAACGCTCTTATATTTCTTTAAGAGAGGGAGTAACAGTGAACCATAAGACAGTATGTAATGTATCAATCCTCTTCTCTTGTGTAACCTGCAAAAAGGAATTCAAGGAGATTCTTCTTTGCCTGCCGTAGAACGTTGCCACCATACCATCTTCCATGGTGATTCACGATAATGCCGCCTTCTGGGGATCCTCGGCCACCCGCTTGTAGACCTGATATGAGATGACCGAATATTGCAGCTGCCCTATTATCACTGTTTAATTGCTGACACCAACACTACAGTTCCATCTTAGGACCCCACTCATCATATGCCCTGCAACAAATGTTATGCATGTATACACAAAGAGGAAACATGAATTAACGCAGAACACAACGGTACGAAAAATTGAGAGCTGTTTACACAACTACTACGCCAAGCACGTGTGGTTT